ACACACACAAAAATAAGCCTTCCAGAAATGTTTATCAAGTCAGGAAATTCTCTAAGATCTTTCCATTTGCAATCTTCTCTTTTGGGGTCAACTAATAGCCTCTCCCATGCAAAATCTAAATTCTGTTCTAAAATATCATGTACTTTGGACATCCACAAAATTAGCAAGTACTACCTGGGAGAAATCAAAGGAAGTAGAGGAAAAGGAAAGGGTATTTTGACAAATACTATTTTATATATGTCAGAGATATGTGTCTGCTAACTTGTTGGCACTATGCATTCCTACCTCATTAGATTTCCATAGAAGTTGGGGCCATGAGAACACATTTCATAGATGTAGAAACAGAGGGCTACAGACATCACTCAGTGCTGCATAATGAATAGAGGATTGAGCTAGGATTCCAACCCAAGACAGTGTCATACAGATCCTCCACTCTCTGCTTCTATGAAGTCAAAAGTTCTTGTTGAAAACTCAGGTAACAAAATGGACTTTATCTATCTGATTTTTCAAGTTGGAAAATAAGGGCCATGAAATGGGACAGGATTGGCCTAAGACGCGAGTACAAAATGTAGTGTCAAACACTAGATCTTTAACTCCAGTGTTTTATCCATGGCCACATTCTTCAGCACACAGACAGAGTGGAGAGACTGACAAGCTATGATAGAAGGGATGCCAAAAGTTTAAGGCAATGATGGAAAGGAAAGTGACAGATGCCCGGCGCTAGGGGCTTATATCTGTAATCCTAGCTACTTAGGGGACTGAGATCTGGGAATTATGGTTTGAAGCCAACCCAATTAGGGAAGTCCATGACACTCTTATCTCCAATAAACTACTAAAAAGAAAAAAAAAGCCAGAAGTAGAGTCATGGCTCAAGTGATCAAGCACTAGCCTTGAGCAAAATAGCTCTGGGATAGCTAAACCAGGCCCTGAGTTCAAGCCCCAGGATTGGCACAAAAAAAAAAAATAGGAAGATAAAATAAGAGACTACCTGCATTAGCATCACAAAAGCTTTGCTAGCCATATTCCTGTCTTCAAGTACGATTTCTAGACTTGGAGTGGACTTCTCTCACACAATCCCACTACAATCCATCTCCCTTAAAGTTATCTAATTTGCATCCCAGATTCTACACTGTCATTTGGTTCAGGACTAGAGACTTAGAAGAAGCCTTTCGCAGTCTGACAGTTCTAACATTTCTTTGCAGGAACAACTAGGAAAACATGGAAAGAAAAGGTTAGCACCCATGTCTGTGTGTCTGCAAGATTTACCACTATTCTAGGGCTAAACTCCCCCCCCCCCACACAGGCATTGCTACTTTGGCTTCGCCTGACTTCTCCACAGCACTATCTAGCCCTGGTTCAGCCACTGATTCTTGTTCAGTTCTTCTAATGAGTCGTGTCTGCTCAGTCTTCAGATTTCTGCAGGAGCTGGATCTTTCCCCTGGACTGCTGCTCCTTTTCCTTCTCCAAATCCTTCACATTCACTTTATGCAGCTGGCCCCAAGGACTTAGTTTAAATGTCATTTCCTCAGGGAAGCCGCCTCTGACCCCACAACCCTAGGCTTGTCATTAGTGGTTTTCACAGTCTGACTTTACTTTGTGTGGTCATTTTGTGAATAGTTCTTTTCTCCATAAGTCTTTGAAGTCCATGAAGATAAAGACCATGTAGGAGTACAGGGCTGTAGCTCAGTGGTAGAATTGTATGCCTATCATTTGTGAGGCATGAATCTCTGGTATCCTGTTCATGCTCATGCTCATGCACAGGCGTGTACACAGACACACACACACACACACACACATACACACACATTTCCATTTTTCCTAATGCTCATTTCTCAAGGTGCAACACAGTACTTGGAATAGACTAGGTACTCAAAAAAAAATTAAGCTGGGTGCTGGAGGCTCATGCTTGTAATCCTAGCTACTCAGGTGGCTGAGATCTGAAGATTACTGTTCAAAGCTAGCCCAAGCAGGAAAGTCTGAGACTCCTATCTCCAATAAACTACTCAGAAAAAGCCAAACGTGGTAAAGTGCTAGACTTGAGCACAGAGAGGCTCAGGGACAGTGCCCAGGCCCTGAGTTCAAACTCCAGGACCAGCAAAAAAAAAAAAAAGAAAAAAGAAAAGAAAAAAGAAAAATATAACATGAATGAAAAGATGACTAAGAATCTAGTTCTCTGGGTCTCTTGTAAGGAGAACAGTGACATCTAGTGACTACATTCATACTCTGATATACCAGGGCACATCACTGCAACAGAACTCTGACAAATCTACTACTAAAACTACCACTCAGGCCAGGTGCTGGTGGCTCTCGCCTGTAATCCTAGCTACTCAGGAGGTTGAGATCTGAGGATTGCAGGTCAAAGCCAGGCTAGGCAAGACAGTCCCCTGAGACTCTTAACTATCAAAATCAACTATCAGAAAGCTAGAGATGGAGCTGTGGTTCCAAGTGGTAGAGCGCTTGCCTTGAGCACAAAAAGCTCAGGGACAGTTCAAGCCCCAGGACTGGTACAAAAAGAAACAAAAACAAACAAACAAACAAAAAGCCTACCAACTTGGAACCTGACTACCTTGTTACAGTGTCTTCCCAATTGAAGATTACCATCATTTCCTATGTTTATCATTTCTTGCTTCCTTTCTGTATAAGGTCTTATTATGACTATATTTATTCATAATAGGGCATTTGAGGTATGTTTATGTTTATATACCTGCATGTACCATAACTAAAAAAAGAGGAAATAGAAGGAATCTTAATGGGGAGATAGAGTATTGTAGTTCCAGGCCCAACTGTATGCAAAAGTTCATTAGACCCCATCTCAACAGAAAAATGCTGGGCATGGTAACATGTGTCTAACACATCCTAGCTTCAATGGTGACTATAAATAGGAAGTTCAATGTCTATGACAGCCTGAACAAAATTCAAGACCCTATTTCAAAAATAACCAAAGCAAGAAGGGCTGCAGGCAGGGCTCAAATGTAGAGCACCTTCCTAGCAAGCATAAAGCCCTAAGTTCAAACAACAATATTGTCAGGGGAAAAAATTAATGGAGAAAGGATAATGTGCTATATAATGTGGTATCCTTTATAAACTATTTCCTTCACTTAATGTTATGTTCATTCATTCCCCACTTGGTGTCATCGTGGATCATTAATTAGGGCTGTTGTAGTATATTCTACTGCATGAGGATCTAATAGTTTATTTAACTGCTCTCTCATTGGTGCTAAGTTGGGTGGTTTATAGAGAAGTCCTTCCGCAACACATATTTACTGTAATCCTGTAATCCCTTCAATCTCCAGGTAATCGAGTATATTCAGTATCTCATTATTTTAATAGTAGAACCCAAATTCTCTAAGGCTCATAATATTCTAAATGATCAGGAAATTTCTGACCCCCCCTGATCTCATCTGAATCTCTTCTCATCTCTTGGTCTTAGTCATACAGAATATTTAGTTATAGTCATATTCTTTGGTCCTTAGATCATATATCTAACACTTTGCTCACTTCCTTACACCCATTACTGTCTGCCATGAAGTCCTGTCTGACTCCTGACACCTTCTAGCACACAGTAGTGCAAGACATGCTCTATCACATTTGGTCAGTGGTCTGCATCTTTTGGAGGCTCAAAAAATGTAGCGAAGTAGCTCAGAAGGAAGAGACCAAGTAGAAGTGATTACCCATTTCCTTCTTTCTCACTGAAATAGTAATATTCCACATATATTCATATGAATATATGTGGAAGGTAGACCCAAAATATATACACCTATAAAAACACATACAGGGCCACAAGCTGACTAAAGTATGGTATACACAAGGGTGGGCTCTCTATGGTGTAACCCCTTTGAACAATTAACAGATGGTTGAACAAGATGAACACCAGGAATCTAAACCATGTCTTTACTGAGGAGAGTGGGGTGGAAGAATGGAAAGAGGAATGGTGGGCGAATGCAATCACAATCTCCAAAGTACATATAATGAAAATAGAAACTAGGAAATGTGAAGAGCGGGGTGGGGATGCAATAAATGAGAGGGGGAGGCAGAATGGATGACAGGGGTGACACTGCTCAAGGTGCAGTGCACACATCAACGGACATGTTCAATTGAAACCCATCTGTACAACTATGTACAGATAATCATTTTAACGGGTCCTATGAACAGAAGTTTGCAAAGCAATGAGCCGAATAATTCATAATATCCCTTCAAGCCCTGACATGCTGTCATTAAAATGCAGTAGACACAGAAGAGAGAAAAGAAAGATAATTCGTAATTAAGCATGTAAGCAGTCCGACTTTGAGTACATCACTCAACATCGTTCAAGTTTCCTCAGCTATTACATGGGTGTGACACAAGAGTGAGCCATACAGAAATACCCTTTTTATAAGTAACGGACAAATATTAGTAATTTCATATAAATCCACACAACATTCCTAGGTAAACTGTAGATCTAGAAGGCAGACGACATGAGATAATACAACTGTAGACCTGACGCAGAAACTGCAAGGTTTTCACCAAACCTATGACTTCTCTTCTAGGCACACAGTTAGAATATTTTTGCCTGTCTTCGTTGTAGTCAGGGGTAGACCATGGTTGGGTTATAAGCTATGGACTCATAGGTGAAGTGACATTGGTCTCTTTCTTACTTGGCCTGTCTAAAACATTTTCCTGCAACAGTACATCTTCTTTCTCTTTCCACCATGTCTATGGAAGAAACAGGTCCATGAGAGCACCGATGGAGCTCTGCGCTACCTGTGCCCAACAATAAAAACATTCACTGGGGACTCTGCACAAACAATAAATCACGTTAAGATATTGAGATTTGAGGATTTGATGGTTATAGCAGCTAGTGTCACTAAGCTCTCTAAGTATTTCAGGACATATCAAGGAATCAATAAATGCCATTGATCACCATGATGCTATTGTTGATGATAATGATGGCGGAGAATAAAGAGTCTACAAGTGAAGGAGGAAGAACAAAAGTCAGTCAGTTTGGGGCTAGGGAAGCTCACCTCCTTGGTGCCATTGTCTTGGATGAGGGTGTAGAGTGGTATCACACGGTTGATCTCCAGCAGCACTGGTGTGGGGCTCAGTTGCTCCTTGCCAGGCCTGCGGCAAAGGTGGCAGGTAGAGGGACAGCGGCCTTTCTCCTCGCAGCGAATTTCCACACCTGAGATAAGTTGGTCATCTGATAGCATCTGGGCTGTCAGCAGACCTGAGAGGTAGGTGATGAAGGGCATGGACTTGAGCTCTTTCTTGCTGCCCAGCTCTGTGGTCTCTGGAGAGGCACAAAACAAGCAAAGGTGGACAGCTAAATTAGTACTGACCAAGATTCTGGAACCCACAAAAAAGGTTCTAAGGCTCTGGAATCTGGTAAGGAAAAAAGACAAAAGAGAGAGTCAGTCATCCATGGTGTTTTTGGAAAGACAATTGGCCTAAGGGTTTAGGGACCCTAGTGGTCTCTTGTGCTTCCATTTATACTAATTTTATTCAAGTTTCCTGTAGGCCCTCTGCTCTGACATGTTTACAATGTTTAGATGTGGCTAAATGACTTTGCAAGCAGACTGCATGAGGTAAATACCCCAACCAGGAATTCCCTTTGTCTATGGTCAACTTAATCTTTCTTTCAACTTCTATTCCAGTTCCATATTTTCCATGAAGCAATACAGCATAAGGTTTGGGTCAATCTAATTTCAATTTAAATCCCTGTTCTGCTTGATATTACCTCTGCAGCCTTGGAAACCAAAGTTCTTTTTAATAATTAAGATACTATAGTCATTAACTCTGTGAAATAAGGGTAATAACACCTAGCAACCAGATACAAATGGTAAACAAGACAGAAGGTAGGATTGTCTGAAACAGAGATGTGTCTCCTACTTTATTCTACACACACACACACACCTGTCTCTTGTTCAAACTAAGGAGTAATTCATGTCTGCTCCATTCTATGGTGTCTTTCTTGGGCTACACAATTAATATTTTCTATTTCTATGTCTTTGTGTATGTTGTCCTGTCTTTCTCTTCTCGTGTCCCAATTGTTTTTCCAGTTCATCCATCTTCTCTCCCAATTTTACACTCCCTTGGAAGTCTTTTCTCATTTCCCTAGCCCCTCTCTTCTGAATAAATATTTCTACCTCTTAGATCTTCTCTGAAGTACACTTTTCCTTCCCATTGATATCTTTTCTAACATTATTGACTTTAAGGGAGGAAAAAAAGGCCACTGGTCAATATTATACATTTTTGAAGACTGGAAGTCATGTCATTTAATCCTTTTGTTGGTCAGAGAGGAAGCTTGTCAAACTCTGGAATGACAAGAGCCAGAATTAATAACCAAGAGATCCCCAAATTCCTTAGTATTCTAGAAATCCTGGAAGCATCCCAGGAACTTCTTACATGGGGCAAGGTGAACCTGTATTCTGGGTTCTAAACCCAGCTTCAAATAGAATAGTTCCATTTTCATTTCTTTAACAGATTGGCTTTCTACAAAACATTTTGTAAAAAGACAAGATTCCACGCAGTATTGAGGAAAAGGCAAAAGAGGAAAAATTAGGATGACAGGAGAGACCACAAACTGGTGAAGGTGGTATCCTCTTTTATTCCTGAAGAACTTGGGGTGGGGACAGCCTGTGGAAATAACACCTCTTTCTCTTCTCCAAGATTCTGAGAAAACCAGATAATGACTCTGATGAAAGCAAAGCCCCTAATGACCTTGAAACAGACCGGCTCAGGGAACAGGGTCCCTTCCCATGGAGTAAGAGGGATAGCCAACCAATCAGATGAAAGAACAAGAGAAACCTTCTGAGTCTTCATCAGACTACTGATTCCCAGACCCCACTTCTTGTTCTCTTACACAGAGAAGTCTGTATCCTCCTCTTCTTCCTCCTCCTACTCCTCCTCCTCTTCTTTTCCTCCTTCCCCCTTCTTTTCCTTCTTCTCTTCTTCTTCCTCCTCCTGCTTCTCCCCTGCCCCTTTTCCTTCTCCTCTTCTTCCTTTTCCTTGCTTAGGAAGTCTGTGATAAAACCTCATATAGCATAAGGTCTCTTTCTACATTGAGAGTCCAGCTTGGGAGCTTATACCAATGTGCCAATGGTTAAGAAGCTTTCCCTCACTTTCCCTTGGCATCTTACTCTTACTTTCAAGTAAACTTTGTCTTTGCTCCCAATCCTCTTGCCCCATAATTCTTTATTTGGTCGAAAGGAAGAATCCAAGATGCCTAGATGGTATCAGTAACAAAAATCTTAAAGATGCAAAGTAATCTCTATAGTCCAGAAGGTTATACTTGTATTATTCACTGTGTGAATGATGCCCCCAAAGATATGCAATGCACAATCTGAATGCCAAAAAAGAGGGTACTATACTAAGCAACAGAGCTTGAGCACACAACAGCTTCAACAAAGCCTGGTGAAATCAAGGTAAGATCCTGCTTCAATAGACATTGGGTACTGAGGTCAGGAAGAAAATGAGAGTTTCTCCTATTCTTGTCCTCAACTTGCAGTGACATGTAGCTGATTTGGAAATGAGCTTGCCAATTAGAAATACAAATAAACTCAGCCTTCATTCATTACTCTCTGGCCCCTGGGGCCTGGGATCTGGGCTCCACCTTTTCTGTCTGGCTGTCAACAAATGCTTATGAGCTTCAGATCAAAGGCTCTGGGGGAGGAAGAGGAGGAGAATTCCAGCTAACCATTCCTTCAGAAGGATTAAAGAAGGATAGTTACTAAGATAAACAAAACAAGGCTGTGAAGAAGGCATCCCAGCAACTGAGGAGATGGAGACAGTCTTCTACACAGACATGTCTAAAGAAAAAGATGATGAGTTTTAGAACTGAAGACCAGAAAGCGTTTTGGAGAACAGTGACTTCAAATTTGGAAGAGAATAGCCATTTGCGGGAAAAGATTGGGAAGAAGCGAGAGCTGTGAGGATATTAAGAATCTGCCCACAGTCTGGCGACAGATCAACAACCAATGGACCACAGGGACAAATTCACTCTACTCCCCACCATTGTAAATAAAGTTTTATTGGAATATAGCCAGTCCTGTCCATGTGTTGTGTATGACCAGAACAGTAGAAACCAGGAGTTACAATGAAGATCCGTTTACAAAGAAAGGCTAGATTTTTGTGAGAAAAAAAAAATGTCATGACCCCTGTATTAACTCTAGTTGACAGGAGGAGGAAACAGTTTCAGATTGAGGACCCATCTGTGATCACACAGGAATATGGCAAAAGCATGAGTTAAAAGGTAAAATTTTTAAATTAAATTTACTATCAATATACTTGGAGTATCAATCTCCAAGGAGAAATAATAGAGTAGAAAGATTTTTCTCTAAAAACAACAAATATCTAATGTATTGAAAGAACACACTTTAAAAAATACCGATCTAGTATGAACTACCATATTTTAAACAAGAATAAGTTGTTTCCAAAAGAGAGGAAATGACTTTCTAAGACCACAGACTGAGCTAGCAACTCTTTCAGCCCATGACCCAGTCTTCTGATGAGCAGCTATGGTAGTATATTTCAAAACATACAGACAGAATGGCCTGCATAGCACTTTGCCATATGTATACTCATTTAACTGGGAAGAAATGTAACCTGATACCGGGTTTAAAATTTCTGACATTGAGCCACATGCGTATAATCCTAGCTACTCAGGAAGCTAAGATCTGAAGATCATGATTCAAAGCCAGTCTGGGCAGGAAAGTCCGTGAGACTCTATCTCCAATTAATTAACAAAAAAAGCTGGAAGTGAAGCTGTGGCTCAAGTGGTAGAGTACTAGCTTGGAGCCAAAAATCTTAGAGACAGAACCCAGCCCTGAGTTCAAGCCCCAGGACCAAAAAACAAAAAATCCATTGATCAAGCAAACATCCATAGGCATTGGGTTAGATATTGCATCCATTTAGCAACACAATAACCTATAGTTCTGCTCTGCTTCTAATAAATCTTAAGGGTTTTCAACCTATCATCCCAGTTAAGTGGGGTTAAAAGCTCTAAGGAGAGTTCTAATAGTATAATTCTCTTTTTAAATTATTTTATTATAAAGGTGATGAATAAAGGGGTTAAAGTTACATAACTAAGGTAATGAGTACAGTTCTTTTTGAACAGTGTTACCCTCTCCCTCATTTTCTCCATTCCCCACCCCCTGACTCTCCTCCTCCCAAGTTATAAAGTTCATTTCCAATATAGGGTCTAGTGACTCTCACTGTTACATTGGTTCATCCTTTGTCCCACCAAATAGTATAATTCTTTAGGAAGACTAAATCAAAGCCCAAAAAAACAAGTATCAGGAAATGGGTATCTGTAAGAGGGGAGGGTACAGCCATAGGGGAAAAGGTAGAAAAATGAAAGGGGGAAAGTTGGAAGAATAAAGGAAAGAATTCGTCATAAATACCACAGAATTGAGAAAAATAAGGGAAGGGGTGTATCAACAGGAAGTGAAGATGCACTATATACATACATTGTTATGTTAAATGGCCAAAAAATCAATATATAACCTGAAAACTAAGAAAAGTAAGAGAAGGGATGGGATGGAGAGGTAAGCAAGAATGTTGAAAAAAACAATATTGATGAAGATGCACTACATTCATAAACTGCTTTGTTGAATGGCAACCCCTTTATAAAACTACTTAAAGATACTAAAGCTGGGCACTGGTAGCTCATGCCTGTAATCTTAGCTACTCAGAAGGCTGAGATTTGAAAATTGCAATTCAAAGCCAGCCGGAGGAGGAAAGTCTATAAGACTCTTTTCTCCAAAAAACCACTCAGGAAAACAGAAGTGGTGCTGTGGCTCAAGTGGTAGAGCGCTAGCCCTGAGCTGAATTGCTGAGGGACAACGCCCAGGCCCAGAGTTCAAGCCCCAGGACAGACACAAATAAATAAAGATACTAAAAACTTTTTTATAGAAAGTTCATAGCCCTGACTAAAAACTCAATCACAGCAGCAGTATAGAATTAACAGTTGAACTGAAGGGCTAATTCTGCAAAAGGCAGGTACTTGGCAATCATCCAGTCCCATACTTCTACTTCACAAATATAGAACCTGAGACTAAAATAGGGGGAAAGACTTACCTGCAAAGTCCCATGCACATGAGTTAGCCATGATTCTTAAAAGTGCATCATGCATACAAGGCAGCGATGGCTCATTTCTGTAATCCTAGCTACTTAGGAGGCTGAGATCTAAGGATCATGGTTCAAAACCAGCCTGGGCAGAAAAGTCCATGAGACTCTTATCTCCACTAGACTACTTAGAAAAAGCCAGAAATGGCACTGTGCCTCAAGTGG